CCCCTGGTCCCTTCCCGCGTGGACACGCCCCCGGGCACCCTTTGGGCCACCGGTGGCACCAGGGGTGTTGCAGCGCCCTCGGCCTGAGAGCAGGCACCTTACCTGGGCACCTGGGCCTCATGAACCGAGGCAGAAGCCCCTCACCTCGCTGCTCCCCAGCTCTGCCTGCCTTAAAGAGCCCACTTCCCACCTGCCCCGCAGGCCTCGCTGCAGCCAGAGAATTTAGAACCCCAGGTGCTTGGCCCGAGCCATTTGTTTAGAGCCATTTGTTTAGAGCCATTTGCAACCTCTACCCCATGCCTGTCGAAAACTGCTCACTTTTACCGTGGGAAGTGCAGCGATTGTTCAAAGGGCCGGCCGGCCGGGTGGGGTGGCATCTCCGTATTTCCCCTGTTTCCGTAGTTTGCTGTCGTTTGTGACGACTAGGTACCTGGGCGTGCTTAGTGGAGTGAGGGACTTAGAGGGCTGAGGCCACCCTGCACACAGCAGCCCTGTGGGACCGAGGAGAGCTGCCCCAGGGGGTCTTTGTCCTGCCCAGCCACTGGGGAGGGTGGGGTCCCCGAGGGTGGGGTCCCCACTGCTGGATTTCTCTGTCAGCAGCCGCCCACAGAATGACTCTGCTGCGGGGTCCTTCCTGGAGGAATGCCACCCCCAGCCCAGTGCCTTGGCCTTGGGGGAAGGCCTTCGGGACTCCTGGTTCAGTGATAGTGCAGCAGAGGGAGTGCCAAGGCCGCCCGCCTGCTGTCACTCCCCAGGGAGTGACATTACCTCTGGGAAACATTCTGCACACGCACATCAGCAGTTCGGACGGGGCAGGGCCCTGGTCATCTGGATCAGGCTTGTCCAGGGCTGCCATCCCCATCTCTGCTCAGAAGGGACTACAGCTGGTTTGGCTGCTCATCTGACTCCAGGGCCTCAGTGCAGCCCTTGAAAGGTGGCTGTGTTCTGAGCTTCCCAGGACTCTCCTCCGCCTGGGGCACTTACTCCTCCCCTGGGGAGGAGGCCCCATGGCCTCCAGGGCAGACAGCCCTGCCAGCATCTGGGAGGTGGTGGTGGGGGGAGTGCTGCTCTGGGCTATGCCCTCCTGACCTTCGCCTCCCCCCATAGGTTCCCCCTGAAGGACTCCAAGCGTCTGCTGCAGTGGCTGAAAGCCGTCCAGCGGGACAACTGGACTCCTACCAAGTACTCGTTCCTGTGCAGTGAGCACTTCACCAAAGACAGCTTCTCCCGGCGGTTGGACGACCAGCACCAGCACCGGCTGCTCAAGCCCACCGCTGTGCCCTCCATCTTCCAGCCTGAGCAGAAGGGGGCCACTGGGGCCCAAGGCAGTGCCCGCCGGAAAGGACGGAGCCAGGCCCAGGGCTCTGGGAGAGGGCGCTCCGCAGCACCTGCTGGCCCACCGGCTCCACCTGAGCCCAGGCAGCCAGTGGATGAGCGGGACTCAGCCACCGCCACCACTGACCAGGCAGCCCGGGGCCCAGCCGCCCCGTCACTGGAAAGCCTGGCCACAGACACCGGGGCCCCCATGAGGGTGGACAGCCAGGGCGATGTGGGCCTCTCAGCCACGTCGGTGGATGACTTCCGACCACCAGGCTCGGGGGCCCGGCGTTTCATCGGCTCCCTGCACTCCTACAGCTTCTCCTCCCGGCACACTCGCGAGCGGCCGCCCATTCCCCGGGAGCAGGGCGAGCGCAAGAGGCCCCGGAGGGACGTGGAGCCTGGCGACAAATCCGCTGCTGGCCACAGCCCAACCAGCGCCTTGCGCACAGCCACGCCGCAGAAGGCTTCACCGAGCCCCTCGGCCCCGCCCGCTGACGTGACCCCGCAGCCGGCCACCGAGGCCATGCCCAGTGAGCTCTCGGACGCCAGCCCCATGTCCATCAACGAGGTCATCCTGTCGGCGTCGGGCGCCTGCCGCCTCATCGACTCACTGCACTCCTACTGCTTCTCCGCTCGGCCTGGCCGCAGCCAGGTGTGCTGCCTGCGCGAGCAGGTAGAGAAGAAGAACGGCGAGCTGCGCAGCCTGCGCCAGCGCGTCAGCCGCTCCGACAGCCAGCTGCGCCAGCTGCGGGAGAAGCTGGCACAGCTGCAGCGGGCCGGCCGCCTGCCCCCTGCCTGTGGTCAGTGCCCGCGCCCTCGCGCTGTCCCTCTGTCTCTCCATCTCTGTCTCTCCCCAACTCTAGGGGGCGGGCTACTTGAGTACTTTCCAGGTGCAGCTCAGGGTCACTGCAGACAGACAGCATGTGTTTCTGCCCCACACTCAAGTTCACTGCTTAAGCAGACTCACAGTGACCACCTTATTGGATGGAGTAGAGCTGCCCCCGTGGGTTTCAAGACTTTGATTGTTATGGGAGTAGAAAGCTCTGTTTTGGAGTAGTTTTAAACTGCTGACCTTGGGGATGAAGAGTCCAATGCATAGCCACTACACTGCCAGGTCTGCTTGTTTCTAGCTCTGAGTCCCTTGAGGACTTTGCCAAAGTATAGATTCTGGTTCAGTCTGTGGGAAGGCTCGAGGCTTGGGTGGTCCCGTAGGTGGGGAGAGTGGGACTAGCAAGGAGGGGAGACCCCGGGCTTCTGCGGTTTGCCCTCCACACACCACACTCCTCGGGAGTCCACTACACCAGAGCTCCTCAGTGTGAAGGATGGTCAGCAGACTGGTGGATGGTCAGAAACGTGTGGACCTCACTGCTTGTTGGGGGTGGGAAGGAGTCCATCCCTGCATGTTTGGAAGGGTCTCAAAGGTATGTTGCTCAGAGGGTGGGTCTTGAAGCTCTTGAACAAGCACAGTCAGGGAAGCTTGGAGCCTATACCCATGGCCGGATCTCATTTCTGTGTCAGGTCTTGTTTCTGTGTGTCCACTAGGCTGTCATCACCCCCCATCTGGCCATTGAGTGGTCTGTTTTCTTATTGTGACTCAGGCAGGGCTTATAGATCCAGTCACTGGTTTTGCATTCAACATCTTTTCCTTGGCGCCCCCCCCCCCCAATTGTGGCTCTCCCTCAAGTAGGAGGAGCCCTGATGACGCAGTGGTTACTCATTGGGCTGATAACTATAAGGTCAGCAGTTCAAAACCACCAGCCACTCCTCCAGGTAAAGAGCTTTCTACTCCTGGGAAAGAGTTACGCTCTCGGGACCGCCCAGGGCAGTGGGACCCTGTCCTATGGGGTTGCTGGGAATCGGCTTGGACTCATGGCAGGGAGTTGGGTTTGGTTTTCCCTCTGACAATGATGGCCTTCGCTTCCCAGTCAGTGCTGTCTGCTCTCAGCCTGCTTCTCTTCCTGCCCGCCTCACCCCACACGGGTTTGCTGTTGGTGCCCTGAGGTAGGGGCAGTTTGTTTGGGTCGAGGCTCCTGCCTCCAAGCCTGTC